TAATGCATCTGGGAAAGCAGTGGGAAATGGATCAAGTGCTTGGGCACCTACACTTACGCAGGAGACCTGGAAGAATCTTCTTGCTCCTGGCTTCAGATCAGTCCAGCTTTGGTCATTGTGGTCATTTGGGAGTGAACCAGTGGATAGAGGATCTCTCTCTCTCTCTCACTCTCTCTCTTTCCTTCTCTGTCTCTCTGTAACTCTGCCTTTCAAATAAATAATTTTTTTTTTTAAATCAGATTCCTCACTAGATGCAAATAGGCAACTATTATCTCCCTTGACTGTTCTGAATGTTAGGAAAGAGTTTAGTGAAGAGTTCCCTTAAATAAAAACTGAGAACAGGAATCTTACTAGCTTTCAGCTAGCACCTCAGGTACGGATTTAGGCATTTGAAACCAAGGACCATGGCTTTAATATATTTGAAATCTTTTTACATACAGATTCATTGTAATTATTTTTTAATAATTATTGGTTTTATATAGTGGAAAGCTATTAAGACATTAACAGTCTGCTTGCTTGTTTGTAGGGACAACAGGCATTTGGCGAAGTGGAAGCTAGAGATAGAAGTAGGAGGTGGCAACTGACAGAAAGAGCAGAAACAAAGTCCTTCTTACTGCTGCAAATAAGAAGGGAGCACGAAAATGGCCTTGCACTAAAGATGTGTCTGGAATTTTAAAAAACAGAAATGCTTGAGAAACATTATTATGCCACATTATCTATCGGTACTTGGTGGACATACTAAACTTAGCTTGATTGCACTGGGGAAGATTTTGAAGCCAGGTAATACTGAAATGGGTAGCTGTGAAATGACAGCAACAGATGGACCTTGCTAGCATGAAGCGATCAAAGGTGTGCAAAGTTTAAGCAAAAATACTCAATCCTGGGCTTGACAAACCATACAGAGGCAAGTTATATCATTAAAGATCAGATATGAATATAGTAAGTTTGTTTCAGACGGTTGAGTGTGTTCTAAGCTTCTCAGCCATATTTGAGAGAGAACTTGTCATCTGTGTGTATCTCCAGCTCTACCTGTGATAAAGCAAGTAGTAATTCCAGGAGGTAATTGAGTCAAATCCATTGTGTTTAATGTCTTGATGAGAGCACAATATTTATAATATAGTAAAGTAGATTTATGTTCCTAACACTAGAGTATGCTTTAGCAAATAAAAATACCTCCACGCCCAAACTTTAAGCATGTAATTTTAATCATTTACCAAAGTCAAAAGAGAAACTCAGTTGTATGTAATGTGTAGGTATCTTGACATCTATTTTTTTTTCAAAATAACAAAATTTTAAAATTGTTCATCTTCTGCAGATAGGGATCAGAGTTTGTGTGTTAAGCTCAACTAAGCTTCTTTGTTATTTCTTTTTTTTTTCTTTAAGATTTTATTTATTTATTTGAGAGAGTTATAGAGAAAGGCAGAGCAAAAAGGTCTTGCATCCACTGGTTTACTCCCCATATGGCTGCAATGGCCAGAGCTGAGCTGATCTGAAGCCTGGAGCCAGGGGCCCAAGCACTTGGGCCATCTTCTACTGCTTTCCCAGGCCGTAAGCAGAGAGCTGGATCAGAAGAGGAGCAGCCAGGACATGAACTGGCGCACATATGAGATGCTGGCACCATAGGCGGAGGCTTAGCCTACCATGTCATAGTGCAGGCCCCTCTTTTGCATTTCTGATATAATTATTACTGGCTTTGAACTAGTGGCTAAACCACAATAGACTCTGTTTCCCATTATTAATCTCTTGAACTTGAAAACTTTATCAGATCTAAACCTCTCAAATATTTAAAATTCTGGACTCTGATTACTTGCTAAACACTGATACCTGTTTGTTTTTGTTTTTGTTTGTTTGTTTTGCTTTTTTGTTTTTCTGTTGCACTGGTGTCTTTGGTGAAACAATTTGAATCTGATAAGGGAGTATGTATGTGTGTATGTATGTGTTTGTGTGTGTGCATGTATAAATAGGTACCTGAACATGTTTTACAGTCATTCAGGGATAAGCATTCACCTTTGCAAATTATGCTAATGTAGAATAGCAAAGCTGTGAAATACTGAATTCTATTCATATATTAATTTTCAATAAGGACATCCAGAATCACATTCAAAATGCTGACTGGAATTACTGTAATAGATATGGAAGTTTGCTTCAGTAGACATTTATGTGACAACTTGATTATAAATGGTTTAGATTAATCCTCAGCACATGCATGTTAGAACTTAGTTTTGAGGTTGAGCACTATTGCAAAAGGGATTAGCACTGCCCATTGGGAATTCAATGCTCACTCTAAGAAAAGGGTTAAGCATAACATCAACTCAGAATGAAAAGGGCAAGGCAGTTACAGAAACACACTTGCAGATGATTCCAGATATGAAAATAATTTTGTACAAATTTCACCTTGGTAATGTCTTTCAAACTATGTAGAAAGTTGAATTGTTTTACAGAAGGGCAGTCAACAATCTTCTTCAGTATAGCCTGGACTTAATGTTTCATTTTAGAAAAAGTAGTGATATTTCAAAGAGAGAAAAACATTACTTGAAGGAATTCTGGTTACCAAAATGACGCATAATGTAGGAAAGCCTGCACTGAGTTCTTTACATGATAACACAGAAACTTTCAAATTTATTCTTTATAGAAACTATTCTAGAAGGGTAGAAAATGTGAAAGTATAACTCTCTGGAAAAAGTTTGAATTTGGCTTCTGATGGAATTTCACTTAGTTAGAGGCTGTATTCAGCTGAATATAAACCAAACATATTATGGTGGCTTAACCAAATAAGGGTTTCTTTTTCTTGGTAAGTCTGAACATATGTAGGCAAGGTAGGTGTAGTATCTTCATGTTATCATTAACATCCAAGAAATCAATATTCAATTGTCTTTTGCTTCTTCATCCTCATAGTTACTTCAAGGTTGCAGAGTTATTCTCTACTACATGCTCCCTTCTCTATTCCATGCAGGAAGAATAAGAAAGCTATGAGGTCGAATGGGCAGGTGTCAATTTAAGGAAAGCAAAATTTCATAGGAATTCCTGTGAGGGTTCAACTAATCCCATTGACCAAAGCACATGGCATGAGTGCCCTTTGCTCTTATATAGCCTGAAAAATTAGTGTTTGTTTTGGCTATACTGAGGGTTTTGTAGTAAAAAACAAACAAAAACGAACAAAAAAACCAAACAAACAAAACAAAAACCACAGGCATGGAATCAGCATGTTCCACCACATATTACTTGAGAGTACACTTACCAGTGTCCATTCTGATTTCATTCCAATGACTATGATATCTTCTTCATGATTAGTTATTTTGTAACACACTTCTTAATTTTGCTTGATTAGAAGTAGGTTTTGTGCAAGATACTTGCATTCACAAAGCTGATGTTCTCTGGGAATAATGACATCCCGAGAGTTTATAGATGAAGAGTTCAATCCACAATGCCCCAAAAACAATAACAAAAATCTAATTTTTCACATATGAAGAAAGGCTAGGGAGATCCAGTTTGCAAACATTGGGTAAGAAATCAAAAGAAACTGGGGGTTGGCACTGTGGTGTGGTGGGTAAAGCCATCACCTACAGTGCCAGCATCCTATATGGGCGCTGGTTTGAGTCCCACCTGCTATACTGCTGATCCAGCTCTCTGCTGTGGCCTGGGAAAGCAGTAGATGATAGCCCAAGTCCCTGGGCTTGTGCACCTGCATGGGAGACCTGGAAGAGGCTCCTGGCTCCTGGCTTTAGATCAACGCAGCTTCACCATTGCAGCCATATGGGGAGTGAACCTGAGGATGGAAGACCTGTCTCTCTCTCTCTCTCTGTCTCTCTCTATCTGCCTCTGACTCTCTGTAATTCTGCCTTTTAAATAAATAAATAAATAAATAAAAAGAAATCAAAGAGCAGTCTAACATCATTTTCCATGTGGTGATACTGAGAGTTGAAACCTAAAGAATATACTGTGTTTATACCAAAAATGCCCCAGACAAAAGCTGGTATAACTAATGGGAGAAATAGACAAATCCAATGAAGATTTTAACATTTTTCATCAAGGGTTTGTGATATTGAAATCAATAATAAAATATCTGGAAAAACTGAAACTTTTGAAAATTTAAGGACCCTTCTAAATAATAAATAGGTTAAAGAAAAAAAAAATCACACAAAAAATGAAAACTTAATTTGGGTGAACTTGTAAGAAAAATATAGCAGAGAGCTGGATGAGAAGAGAAGCAGCTGAGACATGAACTGGGGCCCATATGGGACACCGATGCGGCAGGCGGAGGCTTAGTCTACAATGCAATGGTGCTAGTCCCTCCCTAACTACTTTTGTTACTGTTAGAATAGTGTCACCAGGTTACAGAGGAATTGGTCATAGGTACAGAACTACTGGACACTGTGTTTCTTCTGAAATTCAGATTTTTAACTGATTTTCTAAATTTTGACAGTAAAAAGTAATATTTAATGTTAGGATTAAATGGCATCAAATATATACTGTTTGTGCCTATTATTTAATCCAAAGTGCCTGTTACCTATTTGAAGCACCTTTAATCCAGTTTTGAAATTATTTTTTGACTATAATGTAGAGCTTAGTCATCTTACTCTTACTTGAAGTCAAACATATCCTCCACTCTATTTAAAAAATTTGGCCAGCACCGCGGCTCACTAGGCTATTCCTCCACCTGCGGCGCCGGCACACAGGGTTCTAGTCCCGGTCGGGTCACCGGATTCTGTCCCAGTTGCCCCTCTTCCAGGCCAGCTCTCTGCTGTGGCCCGGGAGTGCAGTGGAGGATGGCCCAAGTGCTTGTGCCCTGCACCCCATGGGAGTCCAGGAGAAGCACCTGGCTCCTGCCTTTGGATCAGCGCAGTGTGCCGGCTGCAGCGCGCCGGCAGTGGCGGCCATTGGAGGGTGAACCAACAGCAAAGGAAGACCTTTCTCTCTGTCTCTCTCTCACTGTCCACTCTGCCTGTAAAAAAAAAAAAAAGAAAAAAAAAAAAGAAAAAAAAAAGAAAAAGAAAAAAAAAGGCCAGGCCTTTCTTTTAGCTAGTGTCTTTTTTTTTAAATTTATTCATTTTTATTTGAAAGTCAGAGTTACACACAGAGAGAGAGAGAGAGGTCCTCCATCCATTGGTTCACTTCCCAATTGGCCGCAACGGCCAGAGCTGCGCCTATCCGAAGCCAGGAGCCAGGAGCTTCTTCCAGGTCTCCCATGTGGGTGCAGGGGCCCAAGTACTCGGGCTATCCTCCACTTCTATCCCAGGCCACAGCAGAGAGCTGGCCCAGAAGAGGAGCAGCTGGGACCAGAACCGGCGCCCATATGGGATGCCAGTGCTTCAGGCCAGGGCGTCAACCTGCAGCGCCATAACGCCGGCCCCAATGCTAATGTTTTCAAGTTTGTGTCCCACAGGCTGTTATTTGAAAATAGTATCATGAGGAAAGTCAGTTTTTAGGAAACACTGGGTTAAATAAAAAAAAGATAAAATGGTTTCTTTTGTGTGGGCCACTAAGGGTTTGATAAACTGTTGCTCATTGTTGAGCTGCAAGAGGGAAATATGGAACAGTGTTTACTAAATCTATTTGATCATTGCAAAATGTTCCCAGAAACATACTCTGGAAATGTTCTTTTGAGCTATTTAGTATTAAGCCTTATGATTACAGTTATAGAAAGTTTGCTTACTTTTCAAAAAGCTCTTAATCTGTCCTTTTCCATATATATCAGATAAGTCAGTGTGTTGCCTTGTCTCCACTGTATTTTCCTCTCTTTAAGGATATGGGTTAGAGAACCGTGGACCTACTCAAAGTGAGTTCAAAGCTAGAGTGACCCAGCCAGGTGCAAGTGGTTAAGTGGTTGAGAAAGCAGATATTTAGACAGGCCAGGAAATTGGCATAGTCAAAGCTGTGGTAACTGCCAGCCATGATTGCATACTTTTCTAGGAAGAAAGTCAAGACAAGATGAGTAGATAAGGCATGACTGAAGTTTAATCAAATTGGGAATGAAATTGCAAACAATGTAGTCTCTTGGAGAAGCTGGGTTGCAGTACTCCAGTACTCCACCATAGAGAGGAACAGAGTTTTAATACTTTGCCTGGTATTTGAAACAAAAGCCTCTTAATTTTTTTTTTAATTTCTCAGATTGTTTTCCTCCAATTAGGTCCACATAGATTGTTTAATAGTGTGGACAGTTGGGGCCTTTAAGAAGTGCCAGGATTAATGCCACTCTGAGACTGGGTTTATTGTAGTTCAGCCCTCATTTGCTCTCTTGCCCATGCTTGCTTGCTTTTCTACCATGACATGCAGCAGGAAGTCCCTCACCAGATGTAGCCCCCGCCCCCCCATCATGGACTTCCCAGCCTCCAGAGCAAGAGACAAATAAACTTTGATTGTTTTATAATTTACCCAGTCTGTGGAATTCTGTTACAGCAGCACAAAATTAACTAAGCACCCACTTTCTATTCCAGACAGAAAGAAAAGACACTCCCACAAGATTTTTCTTGTCTTGAGAAGGGATGCTGTTCCCAGGCATATCTATCTATATCTTACTGGCCAGCACAGGATGACATAGCTTCCCTTAGTTGCAATAGATGTAGGGGAAGTGAATGTATCTACATATTAACCTGGAAACATTGATAATCATCTCCAAAAATATTGGAATTCTGTTGGCAATAGAAAATGTGAGAATACGTGGTGGCAAGTGATGAGAAATTTCTGTCATATGCTTCTGTAGAAAGCATTAGATAATACAGGGAAGCATCTCATTTCTTTTTGTTCTGTTTATTTATTTCCTTTCTTCTGGTCAATGCCTCATTTGAAAATAGAGCCTTTCTTGGCCTTCCATCAGATAGTTAAAGTAATTCCCAAGATATGTCCTTATATTTGAGCTTTCTGGTACAAAAAACTTGCAGAAAACATTTTTCCTAGGAGATTTTAGAATTCCTAAGATAGAAGCTTTAAGAAAAAAATGTAAATAAGGTTTCAGGGCAGAAATTGAAAATGGTTTCATGACATACTGTCAGCATTTTATTTGGGTCACAAAACAGGCCACGTCCTGTCTTCTGAAAGCCCTACACTTCTCAAATCACTGCCCTGTAACCTAGTGCATGGAAATGCACTCATCCAGTGCCACAAAGGCAGCAGCCTCCCTCTCCTAAGTGCGTGGCTTTTCGTTAATGGCTGTAGACACTGATTGCAGGGCCTGATCCTGTTCATCATTGTCATAATCACCATGGATTACATTTTTGAGTGCCCACAGGGGGCATGGCACTGTGTTCTGCATAATGTTTACTGTCCTATTTCTGCTTCCAAATCATTAGATGTTTTGTTCACACTGAGCTTATCTCTGATTGCTAGCAACACTGTCCACTGCTGTCAAACAATGACACTTAGATCTTTTTACACTGTGGATGTTCCCTGAACAAATCTGATGAAAAAGTGATTTTACCACTTTTTAGCTGTTTTTCGTTATTAAGAGATTTAGTCAACATGCATGCTAGTAGGTACTATTTTCTTCATTATATAGAGTAATGATGGCATTGCTGAGTTCAAAGTTTGTCAGTACCTCAGAATTTGGAATAAAAGGCAAGAACTAATATTTTTTAGTCCCGGGAATAGTATAGAATGTTTTATATTTGATTCTTAAGTTATCCTGCTGAAGGAATAATTAGTACATAAATTTATAGAGGAAGTAGCAGATGACAAAATAAAATGGAGATGTTGCTGAAAGTCACCCAGCTGTCAAAAGATCAAAAGTAAACTTGAACCTGGGTTCTAGTTTCATTATCTTTTACTTACAATATATTACCTTTAATAAATGTTATACTATCGTGCTCTCTTTGGCAGCACATACAATCGATGCTACGCTATGCTATTTACTATGGGTATTTTTAACATGCCACCATGGTGCTGTTCTTTATTCTTTATAACCACTGCATGAGATAAGTGCTATACCATTTTTTGGCAAAGGAAATAAAGACTGCCATCTTTGAATTTAGTCCCATCGATTTACTTATTATTAGGATTACTTAAAAGAAACTTGGCATGCAATTAATAATTTCAATTAAACTGTTTGCTTGCATATGTTTTGATATACTTCATCAGGAATATATTTTACACATGACTGAATGGTAGAATCAGCCTTTTAAAACCATAGCCAAGATGGGCACCACGGCTCACTAGGCTAATCCTTCACCTTGCGGCGCCAGCACACCAGGTTCTAGTCCCAGTCGGGGCGCCGGATTCTGTCCCGGTCGCCCCTCTTCCAGGCCAGCTCTCTGCTGTGGTCTGGGAGTGCAGAGGAGGATGGCCCAGGTGCTTGGGCCCTGCACCCGCATGGGAGACCAGGAGAAGCACCTGGCTCCTGCCATCGGATCAGCGCGGTGTGCCGGCCGCAGCGCACCGGCCGCGGCGGCCATTGGAGAGTGAACCAATGGTAAAGGAAGACCTTTCTCTCTGTCTCTCTCTCTCACTGTCCACTCTGCCTGTCAAAAAAAAAAAAAAAAAAAAAAAAAAAAAAAAAAAAAAAACATAGCCAAATTTCACTACCACAAGACCACTGTTATAATGTGGCTTTGCACTGATGTAATCAGCAACAAAAACTGAAAAGAACTGATCAGAGTCTGGCAGAGAGGACAAAATTAACTTGTCTCTCATCTGGAATTTTGTGTGAAGACCTCATATAAGAAAGGAAAGTCTAAGCTGGTGTGCACTTGCATTTCTCTTTGACTCATTTCAATATCAAGTAATGATTGTTGTTTACTTATCACCAGAAGTGGGATTTGTTATTACTTTGTACCTCAAACTCATTGGTTTTTCTGTTTATCATGATAACCACATGTATACATTGCTTCACAATTTTCCAAGCATTCTACTTTTACAATGTGGGACTGTAGCTATCTTCTTCCTATAGTGTTCCCAGCATCTGGTTTAGAGCCTGCCATGTAATGTCTGACTAAAACAAGTTAAGTGAATCAGAGAAAAGTGAAAAATATTCTAATATTTGATGCTCATGATATTATTCCTGTTAGACTTTTGTGGAAAGAAAATAATCAGATTAATTAAATATTTTATAAGGTCACAGAAACGATAAGCAATAGTGCTAAGACTTTAACCAGATTTTCTGACTTGAGAACCATTATCGTTTTTCTTACTCAAGGCTGCTTACTTCTTGTGTTAAAGATGTGCAAATTTTGTTTTTGTTGTTGTTATTTGTTTTGTTTTGTTTTGTTTTGTTTTTTAATAGCAGTGAGACATGGCCAGGGCTGGAACCTGGAGCTAGGAATACAATCCAAGTCTCCCACATGGGTGTTAGGAAAGCAATTACTTGAGCCATCATCACTTCCTCCTTGGTCTGTGTTGGCAGGAAGCTGGAATCAAGAGCTGGAGCCAAGTATTGAACCCAGATACTGCAATGCGGGATATGTCTTTATTGTTAGTCTGAATGTTTGCCCCAAGCACTGTGCCAAGTTTTTACTGCTGACCTATCCAGTCACAATTTTTAGAAGACTTTCTTATGAATACTTCATACTTTATCACTTTTATGATATTTAAGACTATAAAACAGCACTAAACCTTCTGAGCACAAAAACACCATAAAGGCCAACTGAGAAAACTGGTAGTTTTAATATGCATCTATAGAGGATTAGGGTCCCCATGAACCTTCTGGGGCATCTCCTGGGAGTTTTGTGGGATACTGTTTTCCAAAACTATTCAGAACTTCCACAAAGTTAGGATTACTTTTGTGCTGCATAGGCAAGTATGTTATCTGCAGCCTCTCATTTCTAAAGTCCAAGGAAAGAAAATAGTGATGGAAGCTTTCTCTGGGGGCTTTGTCTACAGAAAGAAAGCTCACTTATCACAAACAAACCCTTTATAAGAGAGCAACAATTTTGTTGGCTACATTTAAAGACAGAAACACACAGTTCCCAAATGCAATTTCACTTTTTCCAAAGGACAGTCTTATTCGTTTTCAGAAATGCCTTGGTGATTATTTTTTGTTATTTTGTTTTGTTTTGTTTAGAAGGACCACTTAGTGTACCTCTTTAGTGAACATGAAAAAGAAGAAAAGAACAAGCAACTGAATGATCCTCAGATGGCCTCCAGGCAGTGGATTGAAGATGTCTCTTACGTATAAGCAGGTACTCTGGGTAATACTGATAAAGACTTTAAAATCAGGTTCAAATACTCTTCAAACACTGACCCCGTCAGATTGATTCTAATTAAATGTTTCCTTTCTCCCCCTAGAGAATGTCCCTTTTCCATACTGATTGTAAGAAATCCCTTTAAAGGTACAGAAATCCCAGTAATAAAATACTAATCTCTTACATTAATAATTGGATTAAGTTTACTTACACTTTTGGGTTCTATTATATTTAGAATATGAATTTCTTCTGTTTTGATGACTATTGTTTTTAAGAATATTGACCCAATGCTTTTTCTAAATCTGTGCTATTAGCACAAGAAGCAGCAAATACCCCAATATCTTAGAATATTGGTACAAATGACCCATTATTTACAAAGGTTCAATTTAGGATTTTTTTAATGGTGAGACATTAACACATGTTCAGCAGAAATTGTCCTTTAAATTTTGAATTTTGATCTTGTCCTAGGCTATTGATATGTGGTGCCATCCTTTTTCTGACCCTCTTGGCAGGGGCAGCAGCCATAGCTGCCAATCAACCATGTGATAATGAGGAAAAGCAACCAACATTCTACCATGTGCTGTGTTGCTAAGCTGTCATGTTTGGTAAGTGTTGGGTATAAAATGCATTTCAACTTAATGAAACTTTCAGCTTATGGTGGGTTTATTGGAATATAACCCATCTTATGTTGAGTGGCATCTGTACAATATTTTGACTATTTTGCATTTTTCTTATATTCCTTGCAGGTATTACATAAATGCTTCAAATATGTATAATTTCTCAGAAGCTGTTATGATTTCGCCAGTTCCACTAGTAAGCATATAGGCAACTTTTTTCTATTTTGCCTATATTTGTAAAATGTAAACACTAAGGTTGCTAAAATTTTTTAGGATAGTTAGTGTATGAAAATGAAGGCTAGGGTTAAATTTTGGGGTTTGTTTTTCAGGGCATTCTTCCAGATGGGCTTTTCAAGGGAATATACTCATATTCATATTTTCATTTCCAACACTTAGTTCATTAGCCATATTAAACACTCAGTAAATTTTTGCTAACTACATGGAAAATGTTTAAGTCAATAATTAAATCATGTATCTATTCAGGTGATAGTAGATTATGATCACTTCTGGCCAATGGACTGTTTTTTCTTTTTAAAAATGGTTATTTTTATTTATTTCATGTACTTGAAAGGCAGAGTCAGACTGATAGAGAGAGAAAGAGAGAGAGAGAGAGAGATGATTGATTCATTCCCTAAATGCCCACAAATGCTAAGGGTGGGCCAGGCTGAAACCGGGAGCCAATACATCCATTCAAGTATCCCACATGGGTGGAAGGGGCCCATGCACTATCATCCACTACCTACCAGGATACAATAGCATGAAACTGGACTGGAAGCCGAGTTGCTGGAATTTAAACCAGCACATGAGATGTGTGCGTCACAAATGATATCTTAACCCACTGTGTCACAACTCTTGCCCTCTATGGCTTGTTTTTGTAGACTTTGCAAGCTTAGAATGTTTGTTTTTTACATTTTTTAGAGGACTGTGAAAACAACAAAGAATATGTGATAGAGACTAAATGGCCCACAAGGTCTAAAATATTTACTGTTACAGCTCCTTAGAGAAAAATATTTGAAGATTAATCTTTATTTTTAACATACACTTGTTAAAGACCCATTTGTAGAGGGAAGTTACTAAGAGAGGCTACCCCTATAAAGCACCAATTCAAAGTTTGTCCCATTCTCTATTTTTTAAAATTTTATTTAATTTTTACAAATTTTATGTATTTCGTATATACAGATTTAGGAATGTAGTGATACTTTGCCTCCATTCTCCCTCCCACCCATGCTCCAACCCTTTCTCTTCCTCCCTCTCACATCCCCACTCTTAATTTTTACAAAGATCTATTTTTCCATTTACTTAATGATCATATAGTTAATTGTACACTAAGTAAAAGAGTTCAACCAATAGTATGAAGAAAAAAAACCACTGTTCCTCAATGGAAGAGACAAGGACTATAAACAATCACTGAATCTCAAAATGTCTACTTCACTCCAATACATTACATTTCATGTATTCTATTAGTTACCTCAAATCAGGGAAAGCACATGATATCTGTCTTTTGGGATTGCCTTATTTCACTAAGTATAATGGTTTGCAGTTGTGTCCATCTTGTTGCAAAAGTCAGGATTCCTTCCTTCCTTCCTTCCTTCCTTCCTTCCTTCCTTCCTTCCTCCCTCCCTCCCTCCCTCCCTCCCTCCCTCCCTCCTTTCCTCCCTCCCTCCCTTCTTTCTTGCTTTCTTTCAGCTGAGTAGTACTCCAAATTATGTTAAATATAGATTCTTTATTTTTAATGGAATCCGCATTGTGCTTGACTTATGGTATGATTACCTCTAGGGATGAAGCTTGGTAGGTCAAAGCCAGTTTTGGCAACCCCTTCTTTATTTGTGGTTTATCTGGCATAGGCATATGGCTCTGTCCTAGAAGACGAAACATCCCGGGATTAGGGAGATTCCTGAGACGTTTGTTCTTCACTCTTATAATGCAAACATACAGAAAGTAGTGTCAGTGTTGGCTCCCACTCTATTTCTTCTTGCTTGGGACTCAGGTATGTGAGGATGTGTTTTTCATCTTTGGTAGTCATTTTGTGTTCATGAAGGAAAGTAAAACTAATTCACTGTGATACCAACCTTACATTCTGTCCCTGTTGTATTCCTAAACTGACCCTAGAACTGTCTACTTCCACTCTTCTTGTAATATGATGAAACAGCAAGTCTTTCTGATTTAAGCCATTGTTAATCCTGTATTCTGATATTTGCTGCCAAAATGTCCACTCTGCCTGTCAAAAAAATTAAAAAAAATCCTTATTATTTCTTGTTTTAAGTCTCAAAATTGAGCTCAATTAAATTATTAAAAATTTGTTCAGAGTGAGAAACTTGCTCAAATTACTGGGAGTCATGAATGAAATTGTAGTATTATCCAGACAGGAATTAATGTAACCTGGTACTGTATAATCCTGGAAATAGTCATTTGGGTTTAAATTTATAAAAGAAAAGTAACCACTTGGGGAACAGATTCAACCATAAAAAATCCTATCTTATTAAGAAGGATGTATGTGCATGCTTATGTTTTTATGTGTACGTTTTGTATGAGCATAGAATAAATGTACCTTATTCACATAAGCAGGTATTGTTTAGAATATATAGACTATGACTAATGGGAAATAATGTCTTTAACCTGTCAATAATGATACTATAAATGCAGGTTCTAAAGTGCAAATCCTTTTTTTTTTTTTTTTTTTTTTTTTGGACAGGAAGATTTAGACAGTGAGAAAGAGAGAGAGAGAGAGAGAGAGAGAGAGAAAGGTCTTTGTTCCGTTGGTTCACTCCACAAATGGCCGCGATGGCTGGCTCGCTGTGCCGTTCCGAAGCCAGGAGCCAGGTGTTTCCTCCTGGTTTCCCATGCGGGTGCAGGGCCCAAGGACTTGGGCATCCTCCACTGCCTTCCCAGGCCACAGCAGAGAGCTGGACTGGAAGAGGAGCAACCAGGACAGAGTCCAGCGCCCCGGGGTGCCCGCGCTGCAGGTGGATGATTAGCCAAGTGAGCTGGGCAGCCAGCCCAGAAGTGCAAATTCTTGAATTTCATTACAACCCCCCACACACTTCCTTCTTCAATACTTGTTTCAGAATGGATAGAAATGCAATGATATTGTGAGGTTACTTTAGTCCACTTCTTTTTTTTGACATACTAGCTTAGTAAATTGCATTTTACTTCCATATAGGAAACTTTCCAGGGCTCAGAAATGCAGATAACCCTTTTCAGACTTCTACTGACTTTAGGTGAGCTATGTTAATTTAAGAATTGGTATTCTGCTGAAAACAAATATTTATTTATTTTGATTGAATACTTTCTGAAATTTTTCAAGTAGCTTTATGATTGCTATTATAGTTTGATCATTTGTGTACATGTCTTACCTATCTATGTATGGCAACAGTAACCCTTTGATAGGCAGCCATATACTCATCCTTCCTTGATTTGGATTACATTCTATTATTTGTTAACTTATTTCTGAAATTCCATGCATTATTCTTTCTCTGTCCGTGTTTGCAAGCTTTTAGCTACCTGGCAGCAACCTACAACTTCCTACATTTATAAAGAGCTATCTGCTTCTCAAACCTTCCCCCACACCTACTTTCATACAAATAATTAATAGAAAGTTTCTTTTTTTAAGGAAAAAAGGGATACATTTTCTATACTGAAATTCTAAAGTTCACATAGTATTTAACAGTACAAAATGCATTTATATTTTTTGTTTTTCTCTCATACAAACTCCATGAAGTCAACAAATAATGATGTTTAAAAATCCATTCCTTATTTTCAACACAGGGTTTCAGAAAATTTAGGAGACTTGCTTAGGTCATTTTCTTTTCTTTTTTAAAGATTTATTTTATTTATTTGAAAAACAAGAGTTACAGAGAGAGGTGGAGACAGAGAGAGAGGTCTTCCATCTGCTGGTTCACTCCCCAGATGGCCACAATAGCCAGAGCTGTGCCAATCCGAAGTCAGGAGCCAGGAGCTTCTACAGCATCTGCCACACAGGTACAGGGGCCCAAGGACTTCTACTGCTATTCCAGGCCACAGCAGAGAGCTGTATCAGAAGAAGAGCAGCCAGGACTATAACCAGCACCCATATGGGATGCTGGTGCTTCAGGCCAGCGATTTAACCTGCTGCGCTACAACGCCAGCCCCCATTTTCCTTTTTTTTTTTTTTTTGAATTTTTAGCTATATAAGGTGAACAAAATTCTTCCTCCAGCCCACTCTCCCACCATCCCTCCTCCTTTCTTTTTTATTTTTAATTTTACAATGATGTAGTTTATTTTATAATTACAAGCTTAACCCTCTACCAGATTAAAAATTCAACAAGTAGTAAGTTTCAAAAACCACTCTTCCTCAGAAGTAGAGACAAGGGCTATAAATAATAATCAAATCTTAAAATTTCAATTTCAACCATATCCATTACATTTTTTGGTGCTCTGTATATTACCACATATCAGGGAAAAATTATGATATTTGTCTTTTTGGGACTCGCTTATTTCAAACTAAGTATAATGATTTCCAGTTGCATCCAGTTTGTTGCAAAAGTCAGGATCTCATTCTTTTTTATAGCTGAGTAGTCTTCCATAGTGTGCATATAAGACATTTTCTGTATCCAGTCATCAGTTGATAGACATCTTGGTTAATTCCATATCTTTGCTATTGTGAATTGAGCTGCAATAAACATGAGGTTACAGATAACTCTTTCATATGCTGGTTTCATTTCATTTGGGTAAATTCCCAGGATTAGGATGGCTGGGTTGTATGGTAGATCTATTTTCAGGTTTCTGAGGCATCTCCATACTGTCTGCCACAATGGCTATACTAGTTTACATTCCTAGCAACAGTGGATTAGGGTGCCTTTCCCCCAACATCCTCACCAGAATTTATTGCTTTTTGATTTTTGGACAATAGTCATTCTAATTGGGGTGAGATAAAATCTCATTGTGATTTTTATTTGCATTTCCCTGATGGCTAGTGATCCTGAGCATGTTTTCATATATCTATTGGCCAT